GGCTGTAACACCCTAGGTGTTAGCCTTGCATAAATTGACTTACATTGCATGAGCATGAGCATCAAGCATTCATATTTACGCTTTTACATTTGAAACATATGAATGAAACATACGAAACATGCCTTGTTATTTCATGTTTTCTTTGTGTATGCTTATGATCATGAGTGAATAGGTGTAAGTAGTTGATGTGAGTCACTAAAACATATTAGCTACACTTATGATGACTAGTGGAACAATGTTCATGAAGATCATTTTGTCTAATCAAGTACTTAAGTGATGCTATGTGTGTTGAACTGGATAGCCCTATGTGTGACCAATGCATGAAATGAGTGTGTGACCTTGAAAATAGCTTAAACATGTTTAGAGTATCATTATGAACAACTTTGGTATTCATGGCTAGGGCTAAATGAGTCACTAAGTCATAGTTCATGTATGAGTCATCTTTTTAAGGAAGCATGTTTGACCAAGTTTGAATCATATGCTAGAGACTTTGCATGTAGGTGGTCACTAAAGCAAAGTTGTAGTATTTGATATGGGGAACAACTTTTATGTTTGGGTCATGAGCTAATTATGTGCATAGCTTAGTTTTTTTGAGCTCACAAAAATCATCAATTCACTGTTTTCAACACTTAGCAAGAATTTTCTAAGTCATCTACACTAACAGTTTGACAAGCTCGACTTTGGAATGAACTAACTCGAGTTTGGTTGAGAATTAGGGCATAAGTTGCATGATAAAAATGACGTTTGTTGTAAAAATGGTTAATAACAAAGTTGTAGATAACTTCATCATATATCTTGTGTTAAAATTTCAGGACCATAGGTCAAACGGTTTAGGATTTATAGCTGTTTAAAGTTAGTATTCCGAAATGCTTCTCTCTGGAATTTCTGGACAGCGCTGGATTGATTGTCTGTTTTGGTTAATATAAATTGTAAATTAGCTTTTGGTGATTAAATAAGAGTTGTATACAATGTTATAAGCTTTCCAGAAAGTCTAAGATCACAGCATTTGGATAAGTAGAACTTCAGTTATAAGTAAAACAAGCAGCTGTTATTTTGTGTGTAGTGAATGAATTGTAAATGTGTTTGATTAAGTAATCAAGAAGAGATATGCACCTACTCGGTAAAATATGATGCATTTGTTAACACCATGCTGTAAGAATACTTATACGAATGCATTCATCATGTGTCATCATGCTATACTTGTACGCATGTATGCATTCACAATACCTTATGCCATATTCATGCATATAGGATCGACAGAGGAGATAACGTTGCTGAAATTCGACGAAGTAGAGGAAGGGGACCAACAGGAGAATCCTTAGGCCGCACCTCCCGAAGGCGAGGAGCAGACCCCAAAAGAGCTTCCGGAGTGCCCTAATCACCGCCCCACTTCTTTTCTGAAAGGCAAGCCCCGGAGCATTAAAAGTCTCCTAATATTTTACAAATGATTACTTAAGTACTTATGATTGATGCATTAGGTTATAAGAGTTGAATGAAAACACTTGATGCATGGAACTACCTTATCCAGATATATACACCTTTCACCCTGTATAGGTCCAGGATTGAATATATGCTTAGCCCTGCTTAGACCGGTAGAAGTCGGGTGATTTCCTATCACCGCGCGAGATATAGGTGGATACCGCAAGCTCTCCACACCTACACCAATAAGGTTGGCTATATTTGCTATCGTGGAAAAGAACCATGGGGTAATGTAAATCGAGACCAAAGGGATGTCAATAGAGAAACAACAAGACATGGAGGTCTTGGGTGTGATCTATCCCGTCTAGATTCTTGTATCGATTAAGGACCGCATCTGTTGTTGGCACTTTTGACAAGATTGAATGCATGCCTATCACTTAGCTTGCCGGATAACTCGTCTTACGACCATGGCCGGTAGCTCAACTCAAAGCCGGACCCGTTCTATTCCATGCGCTCCTTGTGGGGCGATCGGAGCGAGCCCAAGGCCAAGGGCAGCTAGGCACGAACGCCCGGCATCTAGTGTTCTAGATTGTGCGGCCTATATAATGCGAGAGAATCAAGGAGATCCATTTCACTCTATACACAAAGGATGTATGGACCCACGAAATGTGTACCTAAGTTGTACCAAAGGTGACTTTGCTTGACGCGACCCAAAAAGATGGGGGAAGTGTGGGTTTGTGTTAGGAATGAATTCCACAAATAGTTTGAAATTGATTCAATCGCCGCCTCTCCCGAGTAGTGAGAAACTTGGCTAGCCTTAACATCGTAGTAATTGTATTATGGAACATGATGGTTCGAATTTAAATATGGAAATTACAATACACTGCTATGGTTACTATTGTATGCTTTTAAATGGATATACCACATGTTTGGTACAGGTGATAGTTACTAATCTAGAGATGGATAGTTATAATTAACGCCGATATTGGAACCATAATTGTATAACTAAGTTAATCGCTATTATGCAAAATGTTGTTAAGCTATCCCCACTTATACAACCTTGCATAATCCTTGGAGTCATTTTATTTACGGTTTATGACGGGTAAGTCTAGTTTGAGTATCTTCTCGCTCGTGGTTTTATTTTTTTCCATTGTTGCAGAGCAAGGCCCATTTTGGCCCAAGTATTTATAGTGAAGGCACGGCGGGAGCATTTGCAATTTTTTACCCATAAGTTGGTATGATGGTATAGTCAATTTGGACTGATGTTGCAAGAGAGGCGATACCTCATTTACTTATCAAGTCGTACAGCAAAACCGTAGTTGCACATTTAGATAGATTATCTTTTGCATAGGTTTTGCTAGAGGTAGAAAAAGAGGCCATAGTTTAGAGTTAGATTTTTTAAGTTGCCTTTGTGTATCATGTTTATTACAAGAGTTGCTTCTATCCCGCTGTGGATGAGGAGTGAGCCTTTATGCGCTTTTTTATTAATCCTTCTATATGCTTTTGTGGATCTGTGATGTCGTCGCATTGGGCAATTTGATTAAAATATGTTGGAAACTCTACTTTCAAACTTAATTTGCTTCCGCTTTTATTTAATCAAACTTGGTTTGTAATAACTCTATTTCATACTCTGATGATGGAAATGTATCTGCGAACTTTATGTAATATGTGACATGTATGTTGAATCATATACGATCTTGGTTGTTGTAAATCGTTTATCGAGACCCGTCGTGATACTCGACGGACTACCAGGTTTATATGGGTTTAAGTATGACAGTGCGACCGCTTACGGGCCACCATTGTACTTGTACTCTTATAAATTGGTCGGTTCTGCGACATTACAAGCGAGATGTAGGAGTATGTTTATGCCTGTTTGGAATACGGGAACTTTTTTTCCTGTCCGTGTTTTTCCCGTGAAATTGAAATAATTCTTATAGAATTTCTTATAAATTCTGTGAAATTCATGCATTTCAAACTAAGGTCTTGTTTAGATGAGTGTTAGGAATTAGTATTTGGCACTGTAGCACTTTTGTTTGTATTTGACAATTATTGTCCAATCATGATCTAACTAGGCTCAAAAGATTCGTCTCGTAATTTACAATCAAACTGTATAATTAGTTATTTTTTTATCTACATTTAATACTCCATGCATGTGTCCAAAGATTTGATGTGATGAAGAGAGAGTGAAAAAACTTGCAATCTAAACCAGGCCTAACCATTGTATTGGAAATTGTATACTAGTAGTACGTTTATAACCGGTCAAATCCAAGCGCATATGATCAATCTTTCCGTCTGCTCTGCCTGCATCTCCTGCTGCTTGTGAGTTGTGACATGCCCTGCTGCCGACCGGCTTTCAGTTCCTCGTTGCCTGCGAAGATGCAAAGCCCTCGTCGCTGTCATCTCAGGCAGCCTGCACGATAACCTCGCCTGTCGTGTTGCGTTCCGACCCCTCTACTACAAGCCGCTCGCACCGTCGCACCGCACGGACTACACAGTCAGGAGGCATCTACAATCCACCGTAAGCTGGCGAGATCCAGTAACCCAGCCCATCCGAGCGGCACAAAAAGAAAAGGCGAGGCCTATCTCTACGCTCTCTCCCTCCTTTACCCCGATGGCCCGGCCCAATAGCACAATATTTCTCCTCTGCCGCGCCGCGCCCGCGCATCGCTCTCCTCCGGCTGCTCCCGTCGGCCGGCTTCTGCTTCTCCCTCCCGATCTCCCGATCCAAAATCCCTTCTCCCTGCCTCCCGAGCCCAGCGCGAGACCTGCCCCGCCCCCCGAGTCCCCGAGGCCGCGGCATTCGACCGTGAGGCGGACGGCGCCACTGCGGACTCCACGACCGCGAGCGCCGAGGCCGAGCCGCCCGAGCGCCGGCACCCCGCCTGGGCCTGGCGCTGGTCGCCGTCGCCGAGCCTCTGCGGCACCCCCACTGCGGCGCTGCGCCGCGCCCCGCGTGACTGAGCTGCTGAGGTACTGACCGAGCAGGATGCGCGCCGCCGGAGACGGCCGCCGGGTGCGCCAAGCTGCAGAGCAGCGCGCCAGCTCCCCTGGACCGGTGAGTGTTCTTTTGAAGTTCTGAGCTCTCCCAAATCGTATACCCTAGGGTCTGGACAGTGAGCACTGGACTGTAAATTTGGGCTTAGGGATTGTGTATACGGGAAATTGGTGTGTGATTCATTATTATTGGTTAAGGATTTGTTCTTGCGAATGAAATTGGAGCTAGAATCACTGATTTGATTTTAGATCTCAAACATAAAGGCGAAGAGAAGTGGTACTACTGGTTTTCAGCTCAATTCTATGAATGTGTGCTCAATCATGTGCTATATCTGCTATATATTATACATTTACTATTATGTGGAGATGTGGTACTACAAATTTTTAGCTCAATTCTATGAATGTGTGCTCAATTATGTGTTATATATCTGCTATATATTTTACATTTACTCTTATGTTGTATTATACATGCTAAATATTAGGCTTTAGACTCTATATATATATATATAAATCCAAACAGCCCTTCACATTTTGAATTCCCAACTTCAAAATCCTAGGCCCGCCCTAGACACGAATCATCTGCCACTATGGTGGTGGCGGTGTCCGTGCCGAGCCAAGCACAGGCTGTGCTTCGGGGCCGGCTCTGCGACCCAGCCTTCGTCCACTCTGCCCTCAGGTCCTCCTCGGACACCAATTACAGGTGAGCCGAATCGGTACCCATTCCGCCCGCATGGCTTGCCGGAAACATTTTGCTAATCTGCCTCCTTTTGTGCTGGGCAGCAAGCTGAAGTACCTTGTCGCCAGCTCCTTCTCCGAGGCCTGCAATAACTCTGTCCTCCTCCTTGGTCCCCGTGGGTGTGGAAAAGCAGCGGTGAGGTCCCTCAACTGGTTCCGTATCCTTTACTGCTTGCTGCAGCGCAGCCATGCTGTTTGATGAAATATGTATATTGGCAATTGCACATTTGCGCTCTGCAGTGCAGTGTGGAACTGTAGTTTACTTTCCGTTTGAGAGTTCATGTTTTTGTAGGTGGTGGACATGGTTCTTGACGATCTGAAGAAGGAGCACCCTGATGCGATTTCTGTGGTATGTGTTGGTGTTTTTGGACCACCGGCGAGTAAATTTGTATTTGCGTGTCTGGCTCGGATGGTGTGCTCGGAGGACACAAGGGTTTATACTGGTTCGGACGGAACGTCCCTACGTCCAGTTCGCTGCTGCTCGTGTTACTAGCACTTGGTTTGCAGTAGGGGTTACAAACAGGCGAGAGAGGGAGAAGATCCCAAGTCTCTGGTGGAAGGAGTGAACAGGTGTTGAGAGCTCGCTTGCCGCTCAGCCGTGTGCTTGTGTCGTGCTCTTGTGTCAAGATCTCTCTCCTTTCATGGGACGCCCTACTTCCTTTTTTATAGGTGAAGGGAAAGCGCGGGTTACAGAGCAGGAAAAGGAGAAGAACGAGAGAGAAGAAGGCTTCCATGGTTGTCGGGTCCTTCTTCTCCTTCATGAGGGTCCCGCTAATCCTGTAGATGTCAACGTGGACGGCTCCATGTCGCGGCCCTGTTCGTCACTGGCGTCGTGCGCAGGCGTCATCTGCCGGTCATGGCGTTCCACTCCGTCCTGGCGGACGTCGTGGTGAATCGAATCGCTTTCGGCGTCCGTGACGAGATTATGCGTAACAAAGACGCGCACGCCCGACACTGTTCTTGATGTGAATCCTCAGGTATGGCTTATCATGGCCACGGGTTACATCGATGCATGCCAGCCTCTTCCCTGGCGTCAGAGTTTTGACCCAAGCCCATACGCTTGGATCTGGAGTGGTTGGCGGCGGTATGGGTCCCTGTCGGACAAGGCGGAACCCGCGTCCTCGAGGTCGGGCGAGACGGAGCCCGCGACCTTGGGCGAGACGGAAACCGCGTCCTTGGGGTCGGGCGAGACGGAGCCCGCATCCAAGGGGTCGGGCGAGACGGAGCTCGCGGCCTCGAGGTCGGGCAAGACGGAGCCCACGGCCTTAAGGTCGGGTGAGACGGAGCCCGCGGCCTTGGCCGAGACAGAACCCGCGTCCTTGGGGTCGGGTGAGACGGAGACTCGACCCCCAGGGTCGGGAGCCTCCCAGCCCTCGAGGTCGGGCGAGACGAGCCGCCGCCCTCAAGGCGAGACGAGGCGGAGCCAGCGAGGGCGAGACGGAACCCAAGGCCCTTGGGGTCGGGCGAGACGGAGCCCGCACCCAAGGGGTCGGGCGAGACGGAGCCCGCGGCCTTGGGGTCGTGCGAGACCTTTTAATTCGTCTCGAGCCATCCGGGAAGTCAGTGTGGGCGCTAACTTTCTTGCTTTGGGTATCCCTAATATCGATACCCGACAATATGGGTGCGATGTAGCATTCTGTTCAGTTCACGTATCACTAGAATATGTGCCCATTGATTATGCAAATGACAAATGATGACTCACTTAAACCTCACAGACAAACTTCCGTCGCGAAAGTAGTATCCTGTGTTACTGATTGATGTAGTGTTCGCACTGGGCTAGAACAGCTTGTTGTGCATAAGTGAAGACTAGTTGTCCTCATCACAGTGACGACATTTCAACTTTTCATGCTATTAGAAAGACCACTTTGATCAACGTTTTAGGGAAAGAAGAGACTAGGAATGGTGGAAGACAGAATGCCCTTCGGTACAAAGTGTGGTTCTTAAGCATCATAATCAAATGCATTATTAACAGAATTATAAAAAAATTGGTGTGTCCTATTATTAATTGGTACTCCTGTGGGGACCTTGTTATTTGCACTGTGGATAATCGTGGGACACCTTTTCAGATCAGACTAAATGGGATGCTACATAATGACGACAACTGTGCTATGAAGGTTAGCATTTTTGGAAGCTATAACACATATTTTATAGTTGGTTTAATTTCTGTTGCCGACATACTCTTCCTGTCTTCCAACCTTGCCTTATGCCTTTCCAAATTCTAAGTCTTTTCCTTAACAAACTGAGTCCATTGTGAACCTCTTTCTTGTGAATAAGTCTGTAAGTCCCTAGCATGCTAATATTTTCTCCTTTTTGTAGGAAATTGCCAGGCAGCTTTGTTTGGAGCATCAGTTATCATTTTCAAAAATGGTACATTTCCTGCCTAGTTATTATTCTCTCTATTTTTGTAGGAAATTTCATTGTAGATAGGCAGCTCTGATCTCTTCTCTTTTAGGCTTCTTCAGATGACAACACTGAGTTCATGATTGACATGTTACGGTAAGCTTTTACTGAAATAATGCGATAATGGATATTTGTATATTGAGCCATAGTCTTTACTCTCTCCATTTTATTTTATAAGGCACAGCTTGACATGACATGGTCTCCTAAATTATACTTTGACCATCTATTTATTTTATTTTATATTGTTTATACTTATAAACTTATTATAATTGGATAGTAGATTTAGTTACAAATCTATCCATATCAAGTTTGTGTTATCATAATTAAAGTGTTAGTCAAATTATATTGGTCAAAGGTTTTGAAGTTTGAATCTTGATATGCTTGTGCGCCTTATAAAAGAGAATGGAGGTAGTAGTTCATAAGTTTTTAAAGACATTTTTATATTCTCTTCTGCAGGGAGTGTGGACTAGCTCACAAAACAATCCTATTTGTTCTAGAAGAGTTTGACCTCTTTGCTCAGGTCGAGATAAATAGCTGCCTTTTATGCTTTAACTAAACTGAGTTTGTTTCATTCCCTTTTTCATCTATGTCAGCAACCTAAATTTCAATAAAACCATTGTTCATGGCACATATGGCTAATGGCATAACATGACTATTGCTACGGTCAGTTTTGACATGAGAAAAATACTTATGTTCATGATGTTCTTTACAGGGTAAACAGAGGTTGCTTTACAGCTTGCTTGATGCAATGCAGTCTCTAACATCACAAGCTGTTGTCATTGGTGTGAGTTGCCGCTTGGTATGAACTAAGCCTTCATATTTACTTGTATTTACCAATAATATAAACTTCAGGCCTGTCAGTTGTATATAATTGATTTCTCGTTTTGTGTTGAATGCCACTTGATTTGTATGTCTGTCAGATGTCACTCTTGATTGGTCTTTCAAAAAAAAAAAGATGTCACTCTTGATTATGTAATAGTGATCATGCAGTAACATATAAAGTAGTCATATTGCAGTAGCATCACATATTATAATATTTTCTTAACAGTGGCATTTCATTTTTTAGGATGCAGATCAACTCCTAGAGAAAAGGGTTAGATCCCGGTTCTCTCATAGGAAGCTTTTATTTATTTCTCCTTCACTGGATGATATACAACGGTATATGCTTTCTCCAGACCTTTTAGATAAAAAACATGAAATGCTCTCAAATTCCCTTATCTAAGCCATCTTTTGTTAACTAACAAAATGCAGGTTGTTGGAACATTTGCTTATACTGGCCAAAGACTCAGGTTTACCAGCAAAGTATATCACCGATTATAACTCAAGACTTACTGTATCCTTTCTGAAACCTGACTGTTATGGGGCATTTTGTTTAACCTTTTTCCTTTATCTCATCTTAGTTGAATACTTAGCTATTAATGACATATAATCTTGTTAAACGAAACAAAAGTGTTTGCTTGCTGATACGGAAACATGGTAGAATTTAGCCAAGAGCATAATAGATCTGTATTGTATTTTTTTCAATCAGTTCCCTAGGATTTTTTTTTTGTTCCATAGTGGAGAAACAAAAGGGTGAACAAATTAAGCAGCACAGCTGCAAAAGATTGCACAATAGAATTCTCTTATCCTATACACCGCAGAGCATTTTTAGTGATAAGAAATTCAAAGGATGTCTCAACTACCTCATGGATGCTGATGCAACAACAAGCAACATTCTAAGATTTCTGTAGGTCTTAGCAGCTTTTTGGTTCTTTCTTCATAACATCAATAATTAATCATCAATATAGCTCAGCTGAATATTTACAAGCAATTCTTTCAGTTTCAGAGCTGTGTCATATATGGACATGGAATCTGGATTCCTGCCAATAGAAAGCTTCCTAAAGGCCCTTTCTTCCATGCAGAGGCAACCCAAGATGGACAGCCTACAAGGTATATTTTGTTGGCTAGCCTTAAGTTTTATAGTGTGTGTGTGTGTTCACTAAATGCAAAAGATGTGGATTTTCTTTGTTCACCTATTCTCTCCATTTCTCTTCTGCACAGCACAATAGCGACCAACATGATTTGCTTATTTTCTCACAAACTTGTTCTTATTTTTGTCATTTTGTGTTAGAAAATCACATTGCAATGTAGTGATGACATTTTAATGGAATGAAAACTTTGAAGCAGACCTCTCGATTTTGGAATTGTACATTCTTGTGTGCATGCACAGACTAGAAGATAAGGAGCAAAGCTCATACAACTTCACCAGCATAATGAAAGGTAGAGACTGGTCCCCTCCCTCCTCTAGTCCCCTTGTTGGACAGAAAAGTGAACTGAGGTGAACTATTTGTCAGAATACAGATCCATACAAGACGCATATAAGACTTCTGATAAATATGCAAGCACTGTTTGTTTTAGGGTAAGCACTACCATCACCGACAATCAGTGGGCCTCCTATCACATTAGATATTCAAAACTTATACACTTGTTTGTCGCAGGCCTTTGAGCATCTTTTGGATCGAGAGCTGATCAGTTTTGGTGACAATAGAGGGAGAAACCAGGCGCTTGAATACCGACCTGTTAAGCTCCTCATATCCTCCCGCGAGCTTGCTCAGTCCCTCAAGTTGAACACCACCTGCCCTGTGAGTCACTGTCCATGTGATTGGATGTTAGCGATTTCTTCTATTACTGTCTGTCATTGTTGTTCTTTAATATCGTTTCCGTAATACAGTGACTGTCATCGTGTTACAACTTCCTGCTAATGGATATCGTTGTTTTGCTTTTTGTAGGCTGTACTACAGAAGCTGTTTGATCGTGAAAGATACATGTAGAAACTCTTCTCAGCTAGCCGCGCTTCACCGACTTGAGTCGCCGCTTTCCTGTTTCATCACTGGGCTAATTTCGCTGTCAAGTTCATGTATGTGGACTCGTTGTCAGGTCGGTGCGTTGTTCTGTAAAACAGCGATGGTATTGGTATCTGTCCACTGTTCGTTGGAAAGGTGTGGGTCGTGTGGCCAACTGCCTAGGTTGATGCGTTGTCTTGTAAAACGGCGATGGTATTTTGTTTTGCTTAAATTTCTGAACTATGAAATTGTAGATAGATGTTTGATACCATGTTATATTTTGCTCCACGCAATACAAGCAAATGTGATGAAATTTGTCATTGGACAATTTACAAGCCTATTCAATTTAGATGAATTAAAAATAAAAGGTAAACCTGTCTAGTTCGGATGAATAAATACAAGTGAGGAGAGTGAGGAGACTCATCACTCGACGTCAACCAAACAAGACTACATACAGAACTAAAAGTTACCAAAATATTGCCCGTTTCTTCACTGTGCAAATCTGAAGTATAATAAAAAGAGAAAATGTAGCTTTGATGACATGCTATATTCACAATGGATCTACTAGTAATCTGAAAGGACTAAGCTTTTACACTCCACATAGATGCTCAGCAATCTACAGCTGAAGCGCCATGATCATAAACACCAATGTACATGTGTACATATATAGAATATGGTAGAAATGCTCTGCTAGAATAGTTTAATGGTTCCATTGAACAAAATGCAAGTTATTTAAGAACGGCCCGTAAACCCTTCAAATTATAGGGGTAATAATGGGCAGACTAAACTTTCATGGCAGACAATAGGAAAGAAATGCACATCTGGCGGAGTGTCAATGCGCATGGTGTAGATGGTCTCAAACGCTGTAGTCTTAGGGTTATAGTAGCCCAATGACCGACCTGTGTCGAGCAAAATCCGTCCATCTTTTGGATTATCAACCAATGGCGTAGTGCCCGCTGATAAATTGTCAAGCAATATATGATACTACATCGACCAGATGCCAAAATCTTTCATCATCCACGTCAATCATCTTCCTGCTTTGGTCTGAACAAGCAACACAAAGTGCACCTTGAAGCTGGAGAATGGTCGTATGTCCTCCACTGCCGTGACTGCATGGTGGACCCTGCAACACTTTTTTTTTTCCGCGAGCGTGCTCTTGTGACACGTATTTCATTAAGCAGAAGTAGAGCTTGACTGGTTACAACATCCCTAAGTAATCCATACATTACCGTGGAAGGATGGAAGCCAACACGACATAAATAAACATAACTTAAATTACATTACATAAAAGTTATGCAACCAATTGAGCAGGTGTCAATGAGACTAGCAAGCCTCCTCGAACATACACTCGAACCCCGCCACATCAAACTTCATAAGCGCGAAGTGCGGTCCTTTTTGCGGAGTCGAGCGGGTCCTGGAAAGACCGCTGAAAGTCTACCACTACCTGGTTATCCGACGGCTATGAGGCGGTGGGTTCCCACTTGGACACAAGCACCTTCTGCGCTTGAAGGGTGGCGTTAGGGGCCCGAGAGGCACACTTTGCCGCCAGATGCGTGCTACGACGGATGGTGACCGGCGACGGAGAGCGACGGGTTCGATGTCGGGGTGGCGCCTTGAGAATAGGAGTCTTCAGCGGGGTGGAGACGCGCCTAGCAAACTCCCTGGCGAGGACCGAAGGAGAAGTCGGCATAGAGGTAGGTGGCCGATCATCACCATCCACCCCGCCGCCTCAGCATCCGCGAAGCTGAGCGGAACTATCCGTAGTGGAGAATGGGTGTCCGCCAACAATGCCTGAACCTCCAGAGAGGCCGCAGTCGGAGTAGACGGGCGCCCAAGCACTGAAGCACTCGCTGATCGACTGACGACAAGCGAGGCAGCGAGCTCATCGAGCATCGGGTCGACCCAAACGGGAGGCGCAGCGCCCTCGCACAGCGCCACCGCGAGCGGATCAGACTCATGGGAGCAGCGTGCGATAGTAGAAGTAGCGACGTTGCCAGTCGAGGCAATGTTGATCTCCCTCGGCGTCGACGACGGAAGCCGTTGGTGCCCCCCACAGCCACCTACGCGGCTCCGTCAGAGCCACCATGTGGCGCGTGCAGGGACGGCCGTGACCTGCCACCCCTGCTTCCGACGTTGTCGCCGCGGCACGCCTGGGCCACTTGCAGTCCCTAGCGAGGTGACGGTAGCCGTGACAGTGCAGACAACGTCGTGGCAATCGGCAGGTCGCTACTCGGTGTGAGTAGGAAAGATAGTTAAAACACCTGCCGTGTAGCTCTGCCAGGATCTTCCGGGCCTGTGGAAGCTGCTTCTCGGTCGAGGCGGCCGTAGGTCATGTCTCCTGCCGTTGGAGAATCTCACGCCACCCATCAGCGTCGGGGGCGGAGACCCGACCACGCCGGCCAAGGCATTGGCAGGCCGAGACGTGGCCCTCCACTGGCCGAGCTGGTAGGACGCGCACTAGCTGTGGACACGGCCGTCTGCGACTCCGCTGTCTTCGTCCATGTCCTGCCGTCCCGTGCCCGCTCCGCCACGACCCGAAGCCACAGTTGAGACCCTGCAACACTTCAAATCCGTCGGTCTTGACGTTGAATGCCACGACCTCGCAACCCGCAAGAACTGGTCCGAGGTTAGGATCTACCATCCAGTAGATCTTGCCATCGACGAACGTGGGTGGCGTGCCAGCATTTGGTCTAGAAGGAGGGTCTATTGGACGCCATAGCTTTTCATTCACATAACGTGCTGTGCATTCCAGTTCATAATGCCTTGTTTCCAGGTTCTTCTCTTTATAGATGATACGCACCAAGATATGCTTGTTGATCTCCATGTCGAACCCCAAACCAATGCGACCAGCAAAGAAGGTACCGTCGTTTCCTTCAAGTGGCATATCTTCATAATAACCTATAGTAGGATTGGATACAAAGTCCCCGAAATTGCTGCTCCCCACATTAAGGCCGTGGCAAGGCTGGGAGCATACAACACCATCTTCCGGCTGTAGTGCATCTTCGTCCTTGCATTTATCCATATCCAGATAGAAGCCGAAGCGAGGATCAATAACGAACTTGATCCGCAGGCTCCTTTTCATGTTTGCATGGATAGCATGTGACCGGATAAAGCAGTCACTCATGATCATTCCGTGCCACTCCCTGCAAACCAATCTCAACTCCATAACAGAGTGTGTTGGCAGCCAGTTGAGGATGTCGAACCAAGCTTTAGCTCTTAGAGATTGAGAAGAGCGTGTCCTCTATTGTGCAGCCCACGGGCACGAGGCTCTCCTCAAATAGTCCTATTGCGGCTATGCCGTTATCCTCACAGCTTCCAATGATTGTATCATGCGGTGTGAATAAAATCTCTGGGGCGCCGCCATCCTGCAGGTCTACTGCCAACACCTTGCAAGCGCCTGTCCCAAACATGATCTTTTTCCCACCATTGTTGTTTGAGGAATATACACATAGTGGGGCAAACCAAAGTGACTCCAGCAGCTTGCGTTCAGATTTCGGCCAAGCTGTTCCATCAATGCAACGCAACTTCATCCACCGCTCTTTGTTGCGACGATCTCTCAAAAGTCAAAACCCAGATGTGGTAAAGATCTTCACTGTCTGGACGATCTCTGTAGCATAAACACAAATACCCGTTTAGCTCAGTCAGCAAGGGTTCTGTCTTATTCTCGAATCCAGGTGGTGGTGGCAACGAACCGAAGGTCTCATCGCTGATGTTGATGGTAGTGATGCCACCGTCACAACATAAGAAGTGCAGATACCCGTTTAAGAAGACAGCTGTGTTCTTCTCCTTCACTGAGCACAAGGGAGGGGGGTTTTCAGCACTAGGTCTCCAATAACTAGGTGTGCCGAGGACCAAGACCTCACAGCCTGTCGGCGTGTACTTGCCATCCCAGTTGGAGAACAAGCGCGCTACTTTATATACCTTGCTCATTGCGCAGTAACCAAGGCCATATCCCTTCGGTAGAAGGGTAATTCTAGGCCGTCTCTTCGAAAAGTCATCTTCAACGGCGCCTCGCTGTCGGGGAGAGCGAGGGACTCGCCCGTGGAAGGGTTGCACACGAAGTAACCACCACCGTCAGTCGCCCGGATTAGAACCAGGCCGCGGCAGGGCTTGGTGAGGGGCACGGTCTCTCCTCCCCCAAAATCATCGCGCATGAGCTTCTCGACCGCGCCACTGCCACTGGGCCGCCATGAATAGATGTAGCCGTCGTAGGAGGACCCTACCGGGGAGAGGAGCAGCTGAGGGTGTCCCGGCTTGTTGGCATGCCACGCGTGCAGGTCCACGAAGTAGTCCGATGAGAGCATGGCGCGCCACGCGCGGGACAAGCAGCGGCAGTGGCCCACGGACTTGGCCGGCAGCCGGGCCAGGATCTCCATGAGGACCTCGTCGGGAAGCGTCGGGTTGTCCTGACTGTCCCCGCTGATACCTACTCCACGATACCAGTCTCCCGCTTGCCGAACAGCGGAATAATTAACGGCGCTTGATAAGGAAGGAGACACGGCCGGCGGTGGGGCTCCAAATAAGACAGGAAACAATATCGAGTCCGACACGGTAATATAATGGACTTCGATCAGGTCTTCAATGATCAGTACGTACCTGAAAACTAGTTGAAGCAACAGGCAAGCAAGTCACGTCTGCAATTCTTCTGGAAATATGAATTGAAGGTCAAGACAAAAATCCGACTATTGTGACGCTTATTATCAGGTCTCATTTTCCAGAAGAAAATTACACTGGTAATGCTTTCTGTAGGGCGTCCAGACGGCCGAACGCTGCCAACAGAAAACCGACCTGCTCCCCTGCTCTCTCATCTCTGCGACTGATAACTTTTCCACTCCACCCATTGCGGTGTTCACCGCGCCATCCGCCCCTCCGCCTCCTGTCACGGCATCCACTCGTGACCGTGCCGGGCGGCGCGAAATCTAGGCCGCCATAGATCCCATCCCATCCAAGCTTCCTGTTCTAGCACCCACCCGACCTCTACGTCATCGTCACTGCCGCACCGTACCTCATCCACCAAAGCGACTTGCCGCGGTCTGCTCGTGTCGCTGCTCCGCGCGCCCGCCCTGCTGCCGTTGCTCCTGCTCCACCGCTTGCCCCGCCCGACGACGCTGAGAGGCGCCGCCAGCGCAAGGAGAAGTGCCGAACCCTGGCACGGAAGCCCATTCGGCCTCGCCTCCTGTTACAGCTGTGGCGCCCCGATGGCGATGCAGACGGCGGAGGAGGCTGCACCGAGATATGATGCATATTACAAGTGTACATTTCAAATGTTCTAGAGGTATATTTTAAGTGTTTCACACGTGTCGGTGTTTCGAGTTATCAAGTAGTAAATTTCTAGTATTGCGTGTCTGGTTCGGATGGTGTGCTTAGAGGACACGAGGTTTATACTGGTTCGGGCAGAAAGTCGCTACGTCCAGTTCGTCGCTGCTGCTCATGTTACTAGCACTGAAAATTTGTAGTAGGGGTTAAAAACGAGCGAGAGAGGAACATATCCCAAATCTCTGATGTGTGTGTGCTCCTAAAACGTGTTAGGGCATGCGTTTTGATGTCTACAGCCATGTAGAGTGGTCAACCGCCCCCTTTCTGGGACGTCCTGCTTCCCATTTTATAGACGAAGGGGAAGAGCAGGTTACACAGAGAGAAAGAGGGAGAAGAGGCAAGGAGAGGAAGGCTTCCAGGACCCTTAGGCCTTTCTTTTCCTTCGTGTGGGTCCCACCGACACTGCAGACGGTGACAGGGACGGCTCCATGCCGGGTGCCTGTCCGCCGCTGATGCCACGCCCCGGCTTTGTCAGCGGGTCGTGACGTCCCATTCCGCCCCGGCGGGTGACGCAACGAACTAGCGTGCTGGTCAGCGGCCGTACAGGGAGTAGGCAGCATAGTGACCATGCGCCCGTCACTGTTGGTGATGTGAGTTCCCTAGAATGACATGTCACGGGCATGGGTCGTGTTGAGATGTGCCCGCTCCCTACATGATGCCAGAAGTTTGACCTTGGGTTGTACTTTTTAGCCCGTAGTGGTTGGCGGCGGTATGGGCTTCCATCAGGAGCCTCGCCTGAGGGGTCGGGTGAGATGGAGCCCCCGACCTAGATGCCGGGAGAGGCGGAGCCCGCCCCCAGCGTTTGGGCGAGGCGGAGCCCACGACCTTGGGGTCGGGCAAGACGGAGCTCGTCCCTAGGGGTTGGGCGAGGCAGAGCCCACGGCCTCGGGGTCGGGTGAGGCAGAGCCCATGGCCTCGGGTTGGGCGAGGTGGAGCCCACGGCCTCAGGGTCAGGCGAGACGGAGCCCACACCCAGGGGTTAGGCGAGGCGGAGCCTGCACACCTAGGGGTCGGTTGAAGCTGTAGTCACGCTCTTGACTGCTTGGATGAATCGATGTTGATGATCATTAGCTCCTCCTCTTCGAGTACCCCTAGTATTGGTCCCCGACAGTAGCCCTCGAGCCTGCGGAGAAGTAGAATACTCCTTGAGGCTTTTCCAAATGGGAGGACTCTAAGGGCCTTGGCCTTCTTTTGTCACCCATGGTGTGTCCTGGGGACGGCGATTCCCTTTTGTCGTAATGGGACCCCTCAGGGTATAGTCGTGAGATTTGGTGGGTCGAAAAGGTCTTTCCTGATTCCGACCCCTACGGGGGTCTGTTGTTCTATGACCGCGCGTTCGGTCTCCTTGTGAGTCTAACTTTCCTCGAGCCCCCGCCCGTAGTAGGGGTCTGGTCTAGGGTTGGCTCGTCTTTGCGATCGTCTTCCCTCAAGCATTTCTTCCATTAAAAACGGAGGGGCTGAGCCGTGCCATGATTTTCCTCTATGGACGAATCTTGGTGCTTGGTGAGTTGTGGATGGGCTAGTCCGAGTGGGCCCCGGCATCCCGTTCACGGGGGTCCAGCTTGGGTTAGCTGGTGACCGGCTCTAGATTCCCAGCGGTCAATCCATATAGTTCTTGGGTCCGCTCGACCGGTCCCAAGGGCTCTCAGCCTTTCTTCAAGGAAAAACCATGGATCGTATCCGACCGAGACTCGAACGTGGGCCGGGATACCCGTGGTGCTCGTGCGCCTAGGTACTGGCCGCTAGCAGGCCCATCCCTTTCCACCCCTCACTCTAAAGGTGCCCGAAGCAATTATCAAACCCGTCGGTGGGCCAACCTTGAACTCCTAGGCCTAAATGGGCCGTAGGAGCGTCTTTAGCTCCGTATCCCTCTTAACTATGACGGGTCATGGCCCGTTGGGAGGCAAAATGTTTGGTGCATTTTCCGAGGGGACGACCATAGGTTTCGTGCGCACGCCCAGCGATGAGACGTGGTGACAGGTCGTGGCAGGCACTGAGATCTAGGCGGACGGTTGGTTTCCTCACACCCGTCGCCCCTATATAACCAAAGGGTTAGCCTCCGTGTTTCATACGCATGCCTGCATCCTTACCTCCATAGCCACGTCGTCGCTGCCAATGCTTAGGTTTCCTGCCTCCGCTTCTTCGCCACTATTGAGCTCGCATCCATCCGCCCCCGCCTCCGATGGTTCCGTGGTGCCATTTCGACATCACCTTCCAGCGTATGGAGGGCCTCGTCCGTCGCTGTCTTCTCTGCGCTTGGACCTCGGCCGAGGAGTGATTGCTGCCTGGCAACGAGGATTCACCATCGCCACCCGATGGCTCGTGATCCTCACCCACAAATTCCTTCGGGGTCTGCTGCACTTCTACAAGATCGAGCTGCAGCATCTCAATCCCAATGGGATCCAGCACATGGCGGCGTTCATCGCGCCGTGCGAAGGATTCCTAGAGATCAACCTCCACTTCAACTTGTGGAGGTATTTCTTCGCTGTCAACCTCCAGAAGAAGAGGGAGAAGGGCGGCAGGCAGGAGCTGCACATGCCGATGGGGTGTGCCGGCATCCAACTTCGGAACAATTGGGTCGGCAAGTACCCATCCATGCAGATCTTGACGTCCAACAAGGGGTGGCACTCGCAGTGGTTCTACCTCAAGAATGACCCCGCCACCCCTCTGCTGGAGTTCACCAGGCGCCTGATCGAAGAGGTCCCGGAGCAGTGGAGGAAGTGGGGCATCTCGGAGAAGGACAAGAAGAAGATCCGAGACCACATCGCCGCCATCCACATCCTAAAGGAGAATGGCCTAAAAGGATTAGGTGTCATCAGGGCTTTCCACGCTACGAGGGTGGCGCTGTTGATGACATGCGTGCTTCCGCTATACGCGATGGCGCCCGAGACGTCGTTCGACAAAACGGCGCTCACCAAGGGAACGCTTCCCAACTCCAAGATCGTGCAACGCATCAAGGAGGCGATGGAGCCTTTGTGGAATGATGCGGGAGCTGCCCTTGACTTCGTCTACCCAGTGCTGGGGCATCCTCTGATGCGGTCGAAGCCAGGTTACGTTGTCTTCGTATGTTTCCCTTTCTCTTGCCTTCTCTTCAATTGATTTCCCAACCCCGTAAGATAAATTTAAGAGGGGCGGGACCAGCTGAGGGACCTCATCCTCATGGATCACTTGGTGCCACTGCTGAGGGATTCAGCCAAGAGGACGGTGAATCATGCCAAGAGCGAGCGGCTGAGGAAGGCGAAGGAGGACAAGAAGAGGAAGAAGCAGTAGAAGCTGCAGGCGTGGGAACAAGGGGAGGACACTGACGATGATGATGACGATGGTGACGATGATGAGGTGATGGAGGAAGAAGAAATGGTAGCCGATGATATCGAGTGGGACAACCTGGTGAACGAGGATGCGCTGACAGGCGTCGGTTCGTCCATGTAGGCATCGGGACCCTTCCCATTCCACGAAGGGGAGGGGACATCTGGGGAGCCAGCGGAGGCGGGACATACCGTTGGCCTGCCCTAGGAGCTAACAGAGGTGGGCGGCTCTACCGTCGCGCCCGAGGTCCCAACGGAGGTGGGTGGCTCCGCTGTCGTGCCCCAAGAGCCAAGGGGAGCGGGGCATTCTTCCAATGTGCCCCAGCCCCCAGGAGCTGCCAAGGGTGAGCCCCTTTGCCCAAGAGTAGGGGGCGGGCTCGAAATGGCCTTGTTCCAATGAGGCAGAGCAATGGTCGGGGGTTCATCCCCCAAACGCATCTACCGCCCGACGACGCTGAGGTGAGTTATCAATTCCTCTATTTTTCCTGTTTTAGTCGGATTTCATCATGACTTATATTTTTCATCACTTGCAGCGTCGGCAGGCATCGGAATCCTTTGGCGCTGGCACCAAAGAAGAGCATTGCCCTCCAATCAGGACGGCGGCTGTCAGCTGGTGTCATGCCCGTTTCGGGCGGGAGCGGCGCCAGTCTGACCGCGTCACCGGCCGGTTGGGCGCCACCCACTGTGGTGCCTATGCCCTCGGTGGGACGGGCGGACATGGGCATTCAAGGGGCGCCTTTGGAGGTCGCGGAGTA